TATGAATAATGTGATATTCTTGTTTAGTTTATTACTACATGCATTCGTAATTTAGAAGCAAATTACGTGTTATTTATAGAATAAAAAATCACCTATAATATCCAAATATTTATACCTATATATATTTCGGACACGAAGACTGACTATTTTGTTTTTGGCTCTGAATAGTTTTCTTTAGAATTTTAAAACATTTTTGTGTTTTTGGGCTACTCCATATAATCATCTTTGATAATTAGGTTGTGTTTGTACTTACGTATGATAGAATCTACAAGAAGCATTTTCAACAGGTCTTTTACACATAAAGCACGTTTTCACCATATTATTAGAGATAATAAATCTTATATATACATTTACAACCCTTACAGCACTATAAATAATTATATTTTTCGTAAAATACAAATCAAAAATTGACATGTGTCAGAAAGTGTCAGAACTGGCGCTGTCAAACTTGGCAACGCTGATTAAACAAGCCAATTACAGGAAAGGGATTTCCCCCCTCGGGGGCAGTAGATGTTGCTAACAAAATTTAGCGCGGGAAAGAGGGGAATACTCCCTCTAGTAGTAATTGCTCGAAGGTTCAATCTAAAAAAGCAGAACTCAAATTAACGAAATAAATATATTAGCATAGGTACGTTGCTGCAAATCCACATATATGTAAGTATACGGAAGATTGCTTAGAACTTAATAGGTACTGCGTTGGTCCTATTTTAAAACAACATAGTCTCCTTCCATACCATGTAGCACTTCAGCAAGCTCTGAAATTAACATATTATGAATTGGCTTAAGAATGTGCTTAATGAGGATCCACAATTTTTACCACATATAATGTGGTCCGACGAATCTACATTTTCCAGTAATGGATTTGTAAACAGGCATAATATGCATTACCGGTCTACACACAATTCTCATTGGATGCGAAAAGTGTTTAATTAAGGTCGGTGGTCAGTAAATGTGTGGTGTGGAATTGTAGATGGTAAAATTATAGGTTCTATAATGTTTAATTAAAAATTTAAATGGTGAGCGATATTTAAGATTACTGAAAGAGGAATTGCCTGTTTTATTAAAAATGTTTCACTAGAGGTACGTCGCATTATGTGGATATAGCAGGATAGCCGCCCAACACATACAAATGACGTAAAAGACTTTTTAAATCAACGTTTTCTGAATAGGTGGATCGGAATAGGTAGTCTACTTATATGGTCACCAAGATCTCCCGACCTCACCCTATTAGATTTTTATTTGTGGGGTCGACTTAAAGATATAGTTTCCCAAACTCAGCCTGTAGAGAAGATCTGATTCAACGGATACAAACTGCAATTGGTCATATTCCTAGGATTGAAATAGAAGCTGTTATCAATTTAACTAGACACATAGACTTGATATTTGCATTGATAAAGATAGAAAACAATTCGAGCACTACCTCTAATTATTCTTGTTAGCATTTTGTTTTTGTTGAATTAGATTTTCTCTACTTACTCAATTACTATTTTCTTTTTTAATTTGTTCTGTTTTTAGTTGTTTGTTTTGTTTTAATAATATATTCAATTTTTATTTTGCAATTAGCTTTATTAAACCAGTAAATTTAAACTAAAGAGGTACCTACCTAATTAAAATCGGATTTTAATAATTTTTTGTGTTAATCGGTACAGCTAAGCTATCGAAAAATTACTGACGTATCAAAGCGAACTTGATTAATATATAAAGAATTTTAATTATTGGTGGACTATTCATCATTATAAACTTTTGCTTATATTTCGTTAGGAAAAAGTTTTTACTGCTTATTAGCAAAATTATAACATTCCATTTAAAATTTTCCAGGAAGCTTCGAAAAAAAAAATGGTTACTTGAACAACTTAATCAGAACTATTTTGAAATATTTTACTAAACAATCAATTTGCTTTTAATTGATACTAAGTTTTTCAAAATCTGACAAACGACACCGTAGTTATAATTTTATTATTAAGGTTCCCAATCGCCCCTACCAGTTATTAAATAGAACAAAAACTTTTGTAAAATTTGCTCAAAATTACCTTTCTTTTATTATTATCCTAGTATTATTGGACATTTAAAGGGTAAAAGTGATTTTTTGCATTACCATAGCGAATTGCGCCCTCTAACGGTTAAGATAGAAAGTTGTAAATAATTTCCAGTATTTTTTCTTGGCCGAATTTTTTTTTTTTTTTTTTTTTTTTTTCTAAAACGTAGGATAAATGGTTGTTTTTCTGAAATTTTTGGATTTTGATGCAAGAGCGTGGAGTGAAATTTTATAACAATTTTTAGGTTTGCCCCTAGATTATTTTGATGTGTATTTTAAATGCTGTAGATTAGGTACCTAAGAAAATTTAGAAATTATACAGGGTGTTATTGAAATACACGTACATATTAAAATGGGGAATAGTATGTAATGACCAAAAACGATTGGCACCAATTTTAACTTCAAATTCTAAAATTTAAATATTGGGGAAGAGTCCCCTTTTCCGACCTACTAGTTTCCATATTTAAAGAAGTAAAATAAATCGAAATTGAACTTACCCATAGAAATTGCACTGTTGCCGTAGCAAAACCAATTAATTCAAAATAAAGTTTATTACAGTAATTGTTCAAAATGCCGTCCATTATTATTTACACACACTTGCAATCGTCTTTCCAAAGAACTTTGAACATTAGAAATTAGTCTTGGATTTTGTCGTAGTTCCTCGGCTACCGCATTAACTTTATTGGTTAATTGTTCAACACTATTAATAGGTTCATTATAAACCAGTTGTTTCATGTGACCCCACAAAAATAAATCGCATGGATTTAAGTCCGGAGATCTCGGAGGCCACTTAGTAGGTCCATTTCTGCCTATCCACTTTTGAGGAAATCTAATGTTCAAAAACTGCCGTACGTTTAAATCAAAGTGAGGAGGAGCGCCATCTAGTAGGTACCACATCCGTTGCCTTAATTGTAACGGTATCTCTTCTAGGAGTACTGGCAAAATATCTTCTAAAAAGTGGAGATATCCTGGCCCATTTAATCTGTTCGGGAGAACATAAGGCCCGATTAAATACTGATCTATTATGCCAGCCCAAACATTTATTGAAAATTTTCTTTGATGCCCAGTTTCCCTAATGGCGTGAGGATTTTCATCACTCCAAAAATGCGTATTGTGCATATTGAACACGCCATCACGAGTGAATGAAGCCTCGTCAGTATACAATAATATTTTTAGAAAATCAGGAATATCAACACATTTTTGAATCATCCATTCACAAAACTCCACTCTCTTTTCTTCATCACCTGGATATAAGGCCTGGACTTTTTGGATGTGATAAGGATGTAAACCTTGTTCTTTAAGTGTCCGCCACACAACAAATGAGAACACTCCAATTTCAAGACCTAGTCTTCTACAACTTAATTGAGGCCGGTTTTCAACAGCTTCCAATATTTCTTCTTCGGCCGCCAATCTTCTTTGTGTTCTTGTTCTCCCTCGATCTGCATTGACACTCTCAAATTTTCCATGGTCTCTTAGATGCTGAACAGTTGAAATAAACGTACGACAGTCCGGAATTCTCCGATTTGGAAACCGTTCGCGATACAGTATTGTGCTTGCCGAGAATTTTCTCCAGCTGCCCCATAAACCAGCACTATATCCGTTAGTTCAATATTCGTAAATAGTGGCATCGTAAAAAAATATTTAAAAGTAATCGTAACAACACTTTTTACCAACTTGGAAATGACGCGCTCGTGTTAGCCAGATTTGTAAATCAACTAAAATTTTAATAATCTATAGTTTCAAAAATGTATAGTTTAAAAACAATCATTTATCAAATATTCTAGTTTTTTGATAACGAGGGTAGTAAAAACCAGTCTTCGGAAATAGAAATTAATTCGAAAATCTTGGCAACATGGTTATTTCTTACAAGACTAGTTTTCTTATCATCTGACAAAAACTTGCATATTAATTACTGTTGATGTTTAAAATAGGTAAATAAACCTAATTTATATAGGTCATCCTCAACATATCAGTGAAGTACGTTTGTTTTAGAATTAATTTTCAAAAATTAATAACTCCCTTAATAAGGGGTATTTTAAAAAAATAATATTTTTCTAGATTCAGTGGGGATCTGCGCAATACCCAGTTTTAATATGTACGTGTATTTCAATAACACCCTGTATAATGTAAGCTAAAATAATTAACCAACATTCTAAAAATATAATAAATTCCTGTAAACATAATTATATTAATATTTCAATATATAAAAATCAAAATGTTATAACAATAAAAACTACTAATTAGAATTATTGTAAAATCCTAGAAGTAAAACAATTTATAACAAGTATTAGAAATTAAAAATTAAAAAAAACCGACTTCAAAAAAGTGCAGATGCCATCACCAAAGCTTAACCAAATTTATATGGGACCACCCCTGAGGTACACCCTTACTAGCAAAAAAAGAATCATGTAAATCGGACACGGTGGTAAAGCATTATCGCTAAACATACATAAAAAAATGAAGAGTTTGAGGATTTTCCTATGGACCCAATTATTAGATTTTGAACAAATTTATATGGGACCACCCCTGAAGTACCCCTTTTCCAACAAAAAAGAATTATTGAAATCGGAAACCGTGTTAAAGAATTATCGCTGACCATACAAAAAAAAATCGCGACGAATTGAGAACCTCCTCCTTTTTTGAAATCGGTTAAAAATAACCTGTGTATTCTTAAAAACAAAACACCGAATTCGCACTAGTCATACAATTAATGTATTTTTAATTATTATTATTTTTTTAAACACTAGAAAAATATTTGATTATTACTAAACCAACTGAATAAAAATTGTTTCTATTCACAATAAACTTATTTTTATTATTTAGGGTAATACTAAAATAAATTATTCCGTTGCAGATTTTTGTGTAAGAGACTTCGATTTTGTCAGATATTTTTTGAGAATCTGTTTAGCTATGTAACAGTTATTTAATGGAATTTTAGAAACTACATTGATTTTTTTTGTTTCAGGAGGTTGGGAGTATTATTGGCAAAAAAGGTGAAATTGTAAAAAGGTTTCGAGAAGAAGTAAGTACAACTTTGAATATTAATTTATTTATTATAGAATCTAGCATTTGCAGGTTATAAATAAACCATAAAATATTCCAGAAATGAGATTCCAACATTACAAGAATCGCTTAGCGGTAAATGCGTATAATTACTTTCAAACTTTGAAATCACATTTTTGCGACTTAATTTTACGTCTCATATGAAATAGTTTGTTTTGCAAGAGCTCAGAAATATTCTCAATGTCATAACCGACTAATGTGCCGTACATTAATAGCTAATAATTTAGGTAATTTCATCCAGATAATGAAAATTATTTATATATTGTTTGTTGGTTGTATAAAAGAACAGTTCCAGAAGTTTTGAGACTGTATTTTTAGGAATTTGGCGTTTTATATTCACCATAGGTTTCGTAAGGGCCAAGTTCATAATCAAATTAAAGAAAGCTGCGATATTAAAAGGACACTTTAAATGTTTTATCGATTACATATACAAATTTAGTGAAAAAATACAGAATGAGCAAGACTATGTCACAGCTCTATTAGTAAAGTAAAAACGGTAGAACAAATCTGAAAAGAGGTTCCTAAATACGATTGAGTAAGTTCTGTTTTAATCCAAATTTGTATATGTTTCCAATTTTTAAGAAAACTGGGGTAATGACGTCATCGCCTTTTTTTTTTCTTCCATTAAAAATTGTAAAAAAGATATTATCAAAAATTCGAAATCGTCTCGATTTAAACAAGTAGTCTTTGAAAACAAAGAGGAAAGTCGCATCTGTCTTTAATAATTAAATTAATGATTGTCAAATATTGTTTTGTTTTTCATTTAACTGAAAAATATTCACGGAGAACGAAAAAATCGAAATGTTATTAGTTTATGGGGCATCTCAAAAGAACCTTGGAGGAGTGTAGTAAAAGTGGAGATATAACGTCACTTTTCATAGGTGTACTTTGTAAAATAAGTTTCTATAATATAAATAAGGTTACGGCATATAAAATGGTATATACGCACTTCGTAGATTAAATTTTGAATGAAAAAAGTTATATTATCTACAGAAAATAAAAATAAACCTAATGCTTCTAACAAAATTGAAGTCACTGTCTTCACCATAACTACTGGTATCATTATTATTGTATTTTCTGAGGTTTTTTATTATAGTATCTATTAAGTTTTCCATTGCTATGTCCACTTTCCAAAACAAATTTTCCACATTTTTTATCATAATCAATGCATTTTCTCCAATGTTCTCTATTTATATCTGAAACTACCTTCAAAAACAAATTTCGCACATCAGGTGATTTAAATATTGTATTGTTTCGAGAAACATGACCTTTTAATTGTGACCAGAACAGTTCAATGGGATTTAAATCTGCATGGTAAGGAGGCAATCTGAGATTTACAATGCCTTTTTCTTGGGCCATCTCGTCTATAATATATTTTTAGAATTTGTTGCTATTACGAGTAATTCTGCCTTCAAGGATTTAGAAGGACTGGTAATATTTTTAGGACAAAGCCATTTTGAAATATCTTCTTTTTTCCATCTTGTTGTAGGTAGTGACTCCTTTAATCGACTGTGATAGGATGCATTATCCAAAACAATAACAGAGTTGGCTGAAAGTTTTTTTGTAATGTTCTGAAACCAATTGTCAAACATAGGGCCATCCATTTCTTCATAGTGGTCTTTTGTTTTCTTTGACTTGAACATTAATAAACCATCTGGCAAAAATTTATTGGTGCTTCCAATGTGGCTTATTATTAAACGTTTTCTTTTTCCTGTTGGATATTTTATTCCACAAGAGACCCCTTCCATAAAGACTTGTTTTTTAGTTTTGATGGAGGTATCTTGCCAAATTTTTGTTACTGTATGTCCAGCATTAACCCATGTTTCATCTAAATAAAATACCTGTTTATGCCGATTCCTTTTGTCCGCTATTTTCCTTAAATAATCATGTCTCCACGCAATGATTTCGTATTTCTCTGTTAAAAAGATATTTCTGTTACGTTTTTTGTAACGAAAATTTAATTCATACGAGGTATAAATAAAATGACTAGCTGACTGATAAATCTTAACCATTTGATAGTTAACAACGGATTTAACCGAGGATTGGTACATGTGGCTGTATGTGTTTAGAAGTAGAAAGTGGTTAATATTGAAAATTTGTTCAAGTGATTGCCTATTTACTTTGTTTCTTTCTCTGGTAATAATAATTTTGTGTTTTTCTTATATTATTCACACCTTAGAGTATTAAAAATTTTTGTGCCGGAAAAACTAACTAAATAAATTATGTTTAAAGGTATGTAAGGTAGTTTTTGAATTAATATTTTTCGAAAAGAGGTATTGAATTACACCAAAAGCAAATTTTATTATTTTAGCTCCTCTTTGACCCCACACTCCCCTAATTATAACATATGAAAATGTGTCGATTAACAACAAAATAATATTTGTCAACCATTAGTTTAATTATTGGTTGCGCGCGCCTTTGCTATTTGTTTCCAAAGGCAATTTGTGTAAATCGTGCCGATTTTGAATTATTGATCCTTTTTTTTTTACAAATTTGCTTAGAATTTTTTATGGAAAGAAGATAAATTTTTTACAAAATTCATTCTTTTTGAATATGCAAAAATATAAGTATGTTTCCGGAAAAAATATATTCGATGATGTCATTACATCAGTTTTCAAATTTGACTCATTTAAGAATGAATCTCTTTTCAGAATTTTATCATTTTCCCTTTTCCTATATTAGAACTGATACATCGATGTGACATGGAGCCATCGCTGTTGTTTGTTTTTATGTGACTTTTTTTTTATTCCTTAGGTGATTTTAAATCAGATACCATGGGGTCTATTCTGTAACAATTCCTTTATATTTAACGGCCTTTAAAAATATTTTCTTCTTTACTTCTGTCATTATTTAAACGGATCTGTTTAAGTAATGACAGAAGTAAATTAACGAATACGAAAATATTTTTAAAAGCCGCCAATATTTTTAAAGGCCGTTAAATATAAAGAATTGTTACAGAATAGACCCCCATGTCTTGAATATGAATGACTACACTGATATAAATCAAAAACAATGACGTCATATTGAATATCGTCTTGACATGGTCAAGTTTAACTTGACCACAGTAAAAATGTGGTCATCACAGGTATGAAATGGCAAATGTAGAACTTTTTAATAATTAAATTATTGTTTGGTTGTGTTATTTGTAAAATCGAAAGAAAGCCTGAAGTACCTTGATATGGACGTATTTAATTAAGGTTTTTGTAAATGGAAAACCAATTTATTTTCAAGATAGCCAAGATTTATTGATGAACATGGCAAAGTTTGATAAAATTTCAAAGGCCAAAGCAACTACAACACCAATTTTCTCTTCATCCATGATCAGTACACAAAACAAATATTTATTTTTTATTGTTACAAATTCAAAACCAAATCCTAACTACAATATACACACAAACAAAAATTCGCGATATCTGACGTCATGCGGCATTGTCAAGTTAGTGTCTATAAACCAAACATTTTTAAATCATATTAACAGAACGTCATTATAATGACGTAAGAATCTTGACCACACTTGACTTGGTCACATTTCTAGTAACTGGTTTAAAATCGCCTCTTATGGTGTCTGTCATTAAAACTAATCTTGTGGACTAACTATTAAACTAAGTACTTTGGATGTTAATAATCAAACAAAATAAACTTTATTAATGTATTTAAAAAAAAAAACCTAGGTGGACTCAAATACAAAAAAAAGTTACTTGGAAAACTATGACATTTACGACAAATGGCTTTATTTCTGGTAAAATATATGTTGGAATCTTGAATTTTTGGGTATTGAAACAGTGGGGACATAATTGGACATAGGTAACTTTCGTAGTAAATAAAACCTATCAAAATTTAAGATTAAAATATCTCCAAAAGTTACTTATGTAACTTATAATTTTTTTGTCTCTTTTAAAAAAAATCTAAATTTGTTAGCTGTTCTAAAACTTGTGTCCAACCTCATGAATATACTTCAATTGATCTACGGGGTATAAACTAAAGATGATATCAGAAAACACTAAAACCATTTCTAGGATACGAATTTAAATAGCAAAATGCAGAAATCACCCCAGCAACTCCCTATGCGTCATCTACCTAAGCAAAAAATTACAATTCCCTACTTTCATATATTCCCTATTCATATATAATTGGAAAGCAAGTAAAAAATGCTTTTCAACGATTTAAGTTATACGTTTACCTCTGTGGTTATACTCTATAAATAACATAAAATTACAATGTGAACCTAAAAAAATTATAAATTTATAAATTCTCGCGATCGACTTACAATGGGCGTGTTTAGTAAAATTCAAAAATATTTTTTTCTAAAAGCTAGCACAAATCTAATCTAAAAATATTTTTTTGAAATTTTTTTCTTTTCAAATTTTCCTACAAGAATTTTTTTAAATTCCAAAAAATTCAAGCAAATTTAAAACGCGCGCCAGTATGTTTTTTAAACATCGTCATAATAAAGCCTATAATCTGATTGGCTAATTTATAACCTTCTAGACCGTAGTCGATATATTTTTACCTTGTTGTTCTTATAAAGAATTACTGATATTCCGCATATCCGACAATTTAAATGTTAAGATCGTATAATTTAACATAAAAACATATATATTAAATATAAATCAATATTTGTTTAAATTCAGTTTTTATGAAGCATTTTGACACTATTTCAATAAACTTTCTTCTTAATCGAAATGTTATTCAAATCATAATCGCGATATCCCGAAATATTTTTCTCTGGCAATGTGGTTTCATCTGTCATCTAAATCCTAACCTCGTTTTCGATTGCAAGATTATTTCATTTTAAAATTCTTATTTCATTTTTTTAAAATGGTCAAAGTACAAACATGATTAAAAGAAGAATCTTTAGACAACTTACCCAAGGTGGATTCTAACATGATTAATAATTTTTATATAAATAATACAAAGTTTATTGGCTCTGAAATTCGCAACGTAAAGACGAACACAGTA